CAGCGCTGGTGCGCGAGCACTTCAACGCGAATCGGTAATTCGGGCGGGCGCGACGCCATAGCGACATCGCCAGCAGTAGACACGAGGATGATCATAGCGACGTTGGTGACGACGATGGCGATGACGACAACAAGGCCAAAGACGGCGCCGATGTTGATCACGCCACGCCGATGGCGATGATGGTGTCCACGCGTCGGTGATGACAGTTTTGGAAGGATTTCGACATGCGCGCGCGGCCGACGGGCACGATTGGCCCGCATGTATTTGACAGGTATCATGCCACCCCAGCACGCGCCCGAGGGCGTTCGAAGGATTTCGACGCGCGCGCGAGGGTCCCGAGAGATCGATGTCGATAAACATGTTGAAGCATCAACGGCTTCCTGAATACGTCGCACGAGCGCGCGCCATTTTCTTTGGGTCGCAACGTTTTAAACATATTCCGAATCATATGGTTTCGGGACAGTCGGTTTTGATATGTTCATATATATATGTGTGTGTGTGTGTGTGACCCCGTGAAAAAAAAAAAAAAAAAAAAAAAAAAAAAAAAAAAAAAAAAAAAAAAAAAAAAAAAAAAAAAAAAAAAAAAAAAAAAAAAAACAAACGGCATGCACGTACGGCGGCGCGCGCGTCAGCAATCTGCCCTTGTTTGTTGCAACGACTGCGCGCGCATAGCATTCGCTGGCGAAGGCGGGAGGGGTCAAACCTGGTGCAACGACTGCGCGCGCATAGCATTCGCTGGCGAGGACGGGAGGGGTCAAACCTGGTTTGGTTTGAATGGTTTGGGTTGATGTATGCAGTGGTTGTGAGACAGGATCATATGTAAATTGTGCATCGGGGTGGTTGTATATCTGGTTTCCGAACAGAGGATTTATGTGATGCGATCTGTTACGAACAATCAATTTCGTTTTCCTCGCGCAACCGCCTGCCATGCTCGCGCAGTCATCCCACCCATCCGCCCACAGTTTGGATTGCACAACCTACGCCGCGGCGATTTCGATGGCTGGTGCACCGATGCAGCCGCGCTAGCGCGCGCAAGCTCGCGCGCAGAGCGGCCAGCTAGCCTGGCGCGGCCGACCCGGCCGCGGTGGCGCTGTCCGCTCGGAAATTCCCAGCGCGTCTCGCAGGCTTCGCTGGCGCGCGGGCTCAAAGTTGCGAGTCCTTGGCCCGGGCGGGCGCGGTATCATGGCGACGTCGACAATGGAAGACACGATGATAATAGTAGCAATGCTGGTGACGATGGTGACAGTGACGACGACACAGCCAATGACGGCACCGATGTTGATCACGCCGATGGCGATGATGGTGTCCACGTGTCGGTGATGACGGTTTTGGGGGGTTTTTGACGCGCGCGCGGCCGACGGGCGTGAGTGGCCCGCATGGTGTGATTTGACAGGGGCGGTGCCCCTCCCAGCAAATGCGCAAGGACATGCGGTCGCGAGAGGCACGTTTGGTCGCAGTTGATGCACATGTTGTATATATATATAATAAAACATATCGGGAAAACAAAAAAAATGAATCCGCATACGCGCGAGCGCAGTTTTGTTTGAATTTTCTTAGTTGCGAATGCATGTTTATGGTTTCGGGACACTCGACCATGAAATCCTTACGGCACCTTCGATGTTTGAGGAATTCGGGGTGCGCGCGCGACGACGCGCGCCGTGTGCAATTCGTCTTTGCCGTTGCAAGCGATGATTGAAACACCAGTTTTGGGAGATGAAAAAGTGCGCGCATGTTGTTTTCTGCAGCAAGATGAGGGGGGTGTCGATACCGATGTTGATTGGGATGGTATGGATTGTAGTTTACCATGAACGATGGGGCAACATCGGGTGTAACATTGCATACCATGTGGGGCACATGAATCAGGTTTCTGGAGGGCGGGGAATCCGAATTCCTGTTCAACAAGGAAACGATGTATCGGCAGAAACGTGTCGGTGACAGGGCGGCGACGGCGATCACGGAACCGCAAGACCGCAACCCAGGCCCAGACAACGGGCGGCGACGAGGCGGCGACGGGGCGGAATCAAGCCCACTCGTCGGGCGGCGACGGGGCGGCGATCGGGTGGCGAAGGCGAGCACGGAGCCGCCAGACCAATATTCAGGGCCAGTCCCTTGGAAGACAGGTGAGAAACCCATATGTGCAAACGTCGTGTGGGTATATGTATATGTACCTGTATATTTGTATATGCATCTGTATATTATGTGTATGTGTAAATGCACGTGTATAAGAAAATGCATATATTCATGGATATGAAAGTGTATGTGTGCAGGTGCTGGTGTATGTATACGTATATGCGTATGTAGATGTATGTGTAAATGTAGACGGTTACGTATATGTGTACGTAAATGTTTGTATAATTATATGGTTCATACATTTATATATATATATATATGTGTGTGTGTCTATGTAGATGCATGTACATGTGCATATGCATATGTGTATATACATGTTCATGTATGTGTACATAATCAGCGCCTGCTCCCAGCGGTATCTATATATATATACACCACGGACATGAATATGTGTATGTGCATGTATACGTCCAGTACATTTGGTTATGAACATGTATATGTATATGAATAGATTATATATATACATATATATACATACATCAGTACGAGCGTGCGCCCGCAATTCGATCCACGGAGCCGCGTGATGCGAAACCTGAGGATTTGGGCACGGAGTCACGCATCTGGGAGGCTTCGTGAGGGTGGCTGTTTGAGGCCTCTTGGGGGGCTCTTCGGGCCTTTGTGGCATTTCTTGGGGGTTCTTGGGGACATGTTAGGGGTCTCGGGGGCAATCTTTGGTGGAAAGGCTTTCATCCTGGCCCTGCTCGTTCGGGGGCTGCTTGGGCCGTCTTGAGGAGCTCCTGGTCTGTTCTGGGGCCCTCCTGGGCCGTCTTGGGGCCCTCTTCTGAGCCTCTTGGGCCGTCTTGGGGTGGTCTTGAGGGCCTCTTGGGACATCTTAGCGGCCTTGAAGTCGGAAAGCGCGAGTGCCCCAAAGCAGTTCATAAGCTGTAGCAAAATCTATGCCTTTTGTTTCTCGAGGCCCTCTTGGGGGTCCTGTTGGGGTCCTGCCAGGGCGTCTTGGGGTCCTCCTGGGGCGCCTGCCGCGTCCTGGATCGCCTTGGAGCCCTCTTGGGACCGGGGCCGTCTCGGGGCTCCCTGGCGTCCCACGGGCCGGGGGTCCCCACAAACCCGCCAGGGTGCATCGCCGATTTGTCTGGTCCGATCTATGCATCGTCCTCGTCCTCCTGCCACGGGTTGCCTCCGAGCTTCCCGCCTCCCGCCCCCGTTGCCCCCCCCTCCCCCGAAGCGACGGGCGGGCACAAGGCCTCCACCTCGAGGCTCTCGGCTCGAGCGGGCGCCCCGGCGGAGCTCGCACGACTCTGGCCTTGCCGATCTCCACCGATATGTTTTTTTTCTTCCCCCGCGGCCCCAGAGCTCCCGATCCCTGCCCAGTGCACCTGCTGTCGCCCCGGATGGGCATAGTTATTCGATGGTCCTGGGGCCCGACGGCCGGCCTCGGGGGCTGAAGCCAAAGGAACTGCTGCGATTGCCGCAGAGCCTGGCTCGTGGGACGCCAGGGAGGAAGGGGAGGGAGGAGGAGGAGGGGGAGGAGGAGGGGGAGGAGGGGAGGAGGGGGAGGAGGGGGAGGGGGAGGGGGGAGGAGGGGGAGGAGGGAGGAGGAGGAGGAGGAGGAGGAGGAGGAGGACTGCTGGCTCGTTCGCTCGTCCCCCTCCCCTCCCCCGCTCGCCGATCCGGCCCGTGGGGGACGCCGAGGCTTCGCTGCGCCGGTCGGCACTGGGGTCACCCGCAGGATCCCGTGCAGGTACTTCGCCACAGGCTCGCCAGGGAGTGGCGCCCGGGAGGAGGAGAAGAAGACGAGGATGAGGGTAAGAAGATGAGGATGAGGGTAAGAAGACGAGGATGAGGAAGACGAGGAGGAGGAGGAGGAGGAGGAGGAGGAGGAGGACGAAGAGCAGGAGGGGGAGGAGGAGGAGGAGGAGGAGGAGGAGGAGGAGGAGGACCAGGATGATGCTCATCAAGGGGGAGCTGCCAGAAGTTCATCAAGGGAGAGCTGCCAGGGACGGGCCTCAGACTGGGCCTCCCTCAGCTGCTGTCAGCTCTCGGGGGTGGGCGGAGGGCGGGGGCTCTTACTCTGGTAGAGCTAGTTGCACTTATCTTCGATACCCCTTTGCTCTACAACTGGATCTTGAGTCTCGGCGAGGACGAGGGAGAGCAGGGGCAGGAGGAAGAGAAAGAGGAGGAGGAGGAGGAGGAGGAGGAGGAGGAGGAGGAGGAGGCAGAAGCGGAGGAGGGGGAGGAGGAGGAGGAGGGGGAGAAGGAGGAGGAAGTGGAGGAGGAGGGGGGAAGCAGGAGGAGGTGGAGTTCAGATCAGATCAGAGCGCCAAGTCAGGTCAGACGTCAAAGCTGTCCGATGCTCTAGAGAATAGCGAGGCCATCGCCTCAGACAGGCTTTGCATCTTCCTCGAGGAGGAGGAGGAGGAGGAGGAGGAGGAGGAGGAAGATGAGGCTCTCCGTCCGGCTGCTGCCACGACGCGAGCAGGCCTGGATCGGAGTCGCCGATCAGGGAGGACGGAGGAGGAGGAGGAGGAGGAGGAGGAGGAGGGGGACGAGGAGAAGAAAGAGGAGGAGGAGGCGGAGGAGGAGGAGGAGGAAGAAGAAGAGGAGGAGGAGGCCGAGGCGGAGGCGGAGGCGGTCCTCGATCTTCGGTCCTCCTCGGCCCGGGGCGGGCCCGCGGAGCCAGTGCAGGGGAGCCGCCCTGCGCAGGCCGCTGCGCGAGGGGGGCCGCGTGCCAGTTCTCGCACGGCGAGGCCGCCGACGCGTGCCCGGTGCCCCTCTCGGAGAGGATGGCGGAGGAGCGGGCGGCCGCTGCAGACCTCGCCTCTTCGACCAGATGTAAGAGTGACCTTTCGCCGGAGTGACCTCTGGTGCGGGCACAGATGGGTCCCCAGGTGGCTGAAAACGAGGCAGGAGCAGCGGCTTGCGCGCCCAGGTTTGGTCCCCCGCGGCCCCCAAAAAGCCGCGCACCAAAGGTCACTCTTACCCAGGGTCACTCTTGCGTGCAGCCGACCTCTGCTCTGGCGTCAGGTCGGGCGTGCCCTCCTACAGGCGGATCTCGGGAGGAAACAAAAACACAGAGGATCAAAGAAGGGCCAAGAACAGTCCAAAATAGCAGAGAGATCGCCCCCAGACTACTTGTCGCCTATTTTGGGGGCATTCCTCTCGTAGAGGGACATGCCCGACTTAACTCTTGCGTTCTGCCTCCTCCCCTCGTCGCTGGCCCCGGCCCGCGCTTCCGAAGCCATTTTTCTGTGGGCCTCCCAGGGGGGTCCGAGCGCAGGGACTTGGAGGATCGCGCCGCATCGCCGCTGCATCGCCGATGCGGCTCGATGTGGAGCCCGATTTCCTCCATGCCGACGGCGCCGATGCATCGGCGATGCGGCGTGATCCTCCGACCCATTCTGCTCGGACCCCATCCGGGAGGCCCCAAAAGTTGTTGACGTTTCGCGTAATTATCCCACCAGCTCGTCCAGGCACGCTCGGAGGTTTTCTTGGGGCGTCTTGGAGGCTATCTTGAGCCCTGCTCGGCCAGAGGCCGAGCAGGGGGAGGAGGGGCTCTGGCAGAAAGAAGACGAAACTCGTTCACCTCAGGAGGTTTTTAGTGTTGACCCCCCCCCTATTTTCTGGGCCGTGAAAATATAGGCAAATATTAGGAATCCTGTTATTTGTGTCTAGATATTTGTTATGGCCCCTTCATCCTCCGGCTCGGTTCGATTCGACTCCGACGGCTTCCGATTCCGATTCAGCTTGGGACTCCGATTCGGGTGCCGACTTCTCTTAAGTCGGGCTTGTTCCTCTTCAGGAGAAAGATTCAAAAAATAGTCGATTGTTTTGGTATGTTTTACTATTTTTGACTATTTGGGGATTCTCTTTATTTTTCGTCGAGTATGCCCGAACTAAGACGCTTCTCACCGGAGGCATGCGAGCCTGCCATTCTCCGCCAGATCGACTCCTCCCGACGCGGCTGCCAGCTTCAAAGTTCCGCCGACCCGATGCGTTTCGATCGCCAGTCCGAGTCATCGATTCGATTCTGGGCCCTCCTGCCGCTCGCAGTGGCGGCCTCCCTGGGCCTCGGGGTGTCCCGCGGCGAGTGGCGGAGCGCGCGGCGCACGCGTCTGCCCAGTTCGCGCTGCGAGAGCGCTCTGGAGTCTAGTCGGGCCTGTCCCCCTGCAGGAGGAAGATTCAGAAATAGTCAGAAAACAGTCTGGGGACGAGTTTTGGATTACGTCTGCCCATTTGGAGGGTTCTTTTTGGTATCTTTCTGATGCTTCGTCCGAAATCCCCCCTGTAGGGGGACACGCCCGACGTAACTTTGGTTCCTTCTCCTCCTCCCACGGCCGCGCTCCTCTCTTCCCCCTCCTTCCCCTCCTCGCATCCCGGCAATCCGCGGTGCCGCCACCCGGCCTGCCCGAGCGCGCGTGCGGACTGCTTCTGCCACGATGCTGCGTAGTAGAAAAGTTCAGCGAGCGAAGAACGGTATAAAATAAACTTTTTCGCCGTCGGGAACACCTGCCCCTGGGGCAGGTGTCCCCGACAGCGAAAAAGTTTATTTCATACCGTTCTTCGCCCGTCAAAAAGTGTCGGTCCAGTTCGGCCTTCAGCCCGCGAGGCTCCCCGAGTCGCGCGGCCAGCGCTTCGCGATTTTTTCTGGGACGGGTTGGGTTGCGAGCTCAGCGCCGATGGTTCGGTTGCCATCGTGCATTCCAAGCCTGCCAAAGTTTTGCGAGTATGTCGCGAGGGTGACTGTCGACGATCTGCCTGATGGAGGTGCAGACATTCCTGTTCTCTCTGGACTGCTGTCTGGTGCTGTGTTATCTGGAGTGCTAACTGGAGGTGGAGAGTTCCTGGTGATGTATTGCGCTGAGTGACCAGGAGGTGCGGATCTTTTAGTTGAGCTGCCACGTTGGGGCGAAGCGGCTCGTCAGTTGCGTAGTCTTCGCTACGATGATTGTGCTGACGAGTTGATACCCGATGGGGGCGTTCGTCAGCAGCATACGCTTCTGGATGATCATCGTGCTGGACATGATGCTTCTTTCCGTGAAGATCTTCCTGGTGACTTGCTAGCTGGAGGTTTTTATGCCTGTGGAGTGCCACCTGGATGTGCAGATCTTTCTGGTGGGTGAGATGCACCCTGCGGTGCACCTGGCGCAGTCCGACGCACTGTCGGACGGGGCCGGCCGCGTGCGCATGCCGCCCCGGCTCCGCGCTGAACGGTTTTCCCGCGAAAGGCTTTCGCGGCGAAGGTCCGCCCGACGGCGGCCAAGAAGGTTCTCGGCGCATGCAGGGATGATGGGGAGATGGCGCCGCACTCCCCGGATCCTGCCGCGGCGCACTTGTCGCCCCCTCCGCACTGCAGCATGCTGGCTCGACGGGCGCCAGATGAGAGCAGGCCAGGCCGACTCGAGCACCCCAGCTGAGCGGCACCGCGGGATGATGATGATGATGATGATGATGATGATGATGATGATGATGATGATGATGATGATGATGATGATGATGATGATGATGATGATGGCAGACGACGCTTGCCAACTCAGCTGGGACGTCGGCTCGAGGGCGCCAACTTCCTCCCAGAGGTGGGCTCCCTCGTGGTGGGTCGGAGCGCAAAGCGGAGAAGTGGATCGACCAGCTCGGCCCGAGCGATCGACACACATCAATCAGCAGGATGCGGACGAGGACATGCAGGAGTACATCCTAGGCGATGCTTAAGAAAACCCAAGTTTTCGGCCAGAGTCTCGATTATTCTTAACGTTTCAATGTAAACCTTAAGATGTTGATAGAAATGTCGGGTTTTTATTCAAGTTCTGAGACTATGAATTTCTTAACCCATGATTTCTTAAGCATTTCGCGGGGTGTAGGCGTGCGCCTCTCGACAGGACCGTCGGCACGACGGGCGCGGCTTGCTGCCACCGGTGAGTCTCACGGAGCCGATGCGATGCTCCGCCGACACACCCCTCCTCGCCCAGCAGGTGCGGTCGCTTTCTCGTGCCGCCGCGCATGTGAAAGAGGCACTGGGGCCAGGAGTTGTCTGCATCCCCTCCTCGGTCGACGGCTCGCTGTCGGCCGAGCTCGGTCTGGCCTTGTCGGGGGCTCCTCTGCGAGCCGCGCCCTTGCCGAGCTGCTTTTGGGGAGGGCCGCCTTCTCGCGTCGTTCGCCCTGTCGGGCGCCCGGATGGTTCCTTCTAATTCGGGCTATGTTGATGCGCGCTGTTTCGGCGTTCGCCTCCGACCCTGCTGTGATGGAGCGCCTAGGCCTGCCCCATCGGCGCCCCCATTCGGCATCCGTTGTTTGGTCGGAGGTGTCCCCCCGTAGGGCCCGAGCAAAAAGTCGTGCACCATTAGTCGGTACACGATCGCCTTGCCAGTTGTTTCCTCAGCATCGGGCGTTTTGGCCGTGGTCCAGCCGTTCGCTGTTGATCGAGTCATTGTTGCTGCGTTGCTCTGGACCTCCTCCTCCTCTCCCACGTAGTCCTCCCCCTAGTTGGTCCTCCCCCTCGTCTGAGTCCTCCTTTTTCATCCTTGTGCTTCTGCTGCTGCCCCTCCTCCACGCAGCTCCCGCAATTTTCACGTGTACGGACGGGAAACAATGTTCCTCATTGGCCTGGTGCTCCTCCACTTTCACCGTGCGTCGCAGCTTTGGGTTGCGGGGTAAGTGGCCTTCGTGGGGAAGCTCCCTTGCCCCCCCTTTCTCCCCACACTCCTCTGCCACCAGCGCGTCTTCCTCCTCCCCTTCCTCCTCCAGTTCCTCCTCCTCGTTTTCCTCCTCCTCCTCCTCTTCCTCCTCCTCCTTCTCTTCCTCCTTCTCCTCCTACTCCTACTACTCCTCCTCTTCCTCCTCCTCCTCTTCCTCCTCCTCCTCTTCTTCCCCCTCCTCTTCCTCCTCCTCTTCGCCCCATTCTTGTCAGAAGGCAGGGTCCAAGTTCCAGTGCACGCGCGTGGCCTCGTCACCCCGGCCTCCCGAGTCGTTGGCGTTGCGTCGAAACCGTGTGCAGGCCCCCCCATGAAGGCCTGAGGAGAGTGGACCCCGCCGGGTCAGGCTTGCTTGTCGCGGGAGGGAAAGTCTACAGTCGGCCCTGATTAGTAGGTCGACCCTGCCAGCTCAAGGGTACCCTAGTGTCCTGTGCCTCGCGACACGTGCCTTCTTACACTCCTATGGCCTTCGGAAGGGTCTTGTGTCCTCTCGCGTGTCCTCTCCAATCAAGTCCGACTGTACTCGTCCCGCCGTGTGCAAGTTTGTCGTCTTGCACTGTTTGTGGCAAATCTGTCGCGCTGGACGGGAGGCCCCTGGCAACCGTCTGTCCGGGCGTGTCGCGCTAAGGGCGGGAAACCTCCTCCGCATCCAGCAAGGGCGTTGCCGATGGCGAAAGGAGGGGTCCCAGCACGTTTGAGTCTTGCGCTGGAGGCCAGGGGCCCGTGTTAGTCCTTTTTTTCCCCCGCATCTAGCTTAATCAACTCGTCCCAAATCGCCGTCCTCTTCATCCTCCTCCCCGCTCCTCGTCGGGGCGTCGTGGTCGTCATCGTGGGCGTGGTCGTCGTCGTCGTGGTCGTCGTCGTGGTGGTGATGGTGGTGGTCGTCGCCGTCGTCGTCGCCACCCTCATGCTTTTTTCGCTTGTGGTGACGAACCAACAACACGCACCCATACCCATAGGGGCATCGGAGAGGGCCGTGGGTGCGTGTTGTCGGATGGGGGTCCCCGCTCGAACGGGAGCGTTCCCCAGGGTCCGACAACCCGCACCCATACCCATAGCCAGTTCTCCTCCCAACGACCCCCCTATGGGTATGGGTGCGTGTTGTCCGTTCGTCGTGTGGCTCTCGAGGAGTGCGCCTACTTCAAGAGGGGGCAGTGCATGCGCGGGGCGGCCTGCCTGTGGGCGCACGGGCCCGTGGAGCTCCTCGAGATCCTCCTGGCGCGGGAAAGATCGCGCACTGCCCCTCCTTCGGGGCGCCTATGGGGAGGAGGGCAGGAGGAGGAGGAGGGAGGAGGGCAGGAGGAGGAGGGCAGGAGGGCAGGAGGAGGAGGAGGGCAGGAGGGAGGAGGGAGGAGGGCAGGAGGAGGAGGGCAGGAGGAGGAGGGATACGAAAAGGAGCAGGATGGGGGAGGGGGACGATCTGAGGATGGCGACGACGAGGTGCTCGAGGAGGAGGGAGGCGAAACTGGATGAGAAGCTCGAGCATGAGGGGGGAAGATGGAGTGATGAAGCGCAACAGGGTAAAGCCCATCTGCACCAGCGATGCTGCCATCTTCACAGCGCAGGACGTGGCTCGACAATTCGGACGCGCCGCCGCAGCTGTCGCGTAACAGCACAACAGCAATGTATTAAAAGGCTTGTTTCCTGTAGCAAATAGCTACTTTAAAGTAATCGTGTGAATTGTCCGCTTCCAACATATGCCCACCCGTCCCGCTCCCCTCCCTCACAGGCGCATCACCAGTACCGCTTCCACCTGCCGGTGTCGCTGTTGCTTTGCGGGCGCGTGCCCCCTTGACAGACGAACGCCCCATGGCAGTGCAATCCATGCCAGGCCAATGCCTTCTTGCCCGTCCTCCGCCTCCTTCTCCTCCTCCTCTTCCTCCGCCTCCTCCTCCTCCGCCTCCTCCTCCCCCTCCTCCTCCTCCGCCTCCTCCTTCTCCTCCTCCTCCTCCTCCTCCCCATCCTCCTCCTCCTGCCTCTCCACCCCCCCTCATCCAGGCCCCATGGACTTGGCTACCGCCCTCTGTCCGGCCCGACGCCCCTGGAAACAAGGTGGCCTCCTTGCGCCAGCCGGCCCCTCTGCGGACCAGTGGCCCCGCAGCCTCCACGCAGCCCTGTCTGGACAGAGCTCCTCGGTGCTTCGCGGCTCGGCGTAGATACCTGGCGGCCATCAGCGCATGTTGACGGCAATGGGGCCGTTTCCTCAACAATTGGCTTGCTATATTTGGGGGGGTGATCGATATGGGCGAAGAATCAGCCGATGAATACCTACTCATTGGAAAGAGCGTGTTCTACCGCTGCTGGCGGAAAACTGGGGGGGGGTCACTGGGGGTTCCCATCCCGTCCCCCCCCCCCTCGAAAACCGGAGGGGGTCACTACCGGTTCGAACCCCCCCCCCAGTCCATCATGAGGGGGGGTCACTACCGGTTCGAACCACCCCCCCCTGGAAAACCGGAGGGGGTCACTACCGGTTCGAAACCCCCCACCCTCCCCCGTCACCGCCGGCAAACGATCGCCGCCCGTAGGGACAGTTGGACAATGGTGGGGATGCTGGGACAGAGGTGGGAACGGTGGTGGTGGGGACAGTGGCGCGGGGACAGTGGGACAGTGGTGCGGACAGTGGTGGGGACGGTGGTGGTGGGGACAGCGGTGAGAGGACAGCGGGACAGTGGTGGGGACGGTAGTGGCGGGGACAGTGGTGAAGGCGTTGGTGAGGACACTGGTGGGACAGTAGTACATTGGGGAAAGTGGGAACAGTGGGGACAGTGGGACATTGATGGGGACATTGGGGACGGTGGGACAGCACAGTGGGACAGCGGCGGGGACGGTGGGACAGTGGTGGGTACAGTGGAGACACTGGTGGGGACCGTGGGGAAAGTGGGGAGAGCGGGACTGTGGTGGGACAGTGGTGGGGAGAGTAAGGGCAGTGAGACACTGCTGGGGGCAATGGTGGGGACAGCGGGTGGTGGGGACAGCTGCGGGGGATGTGGTGCGGACGGTGGTAGGGACCCGGGAGTCGTTTGCTGGCGGTGAGCGTGGGGGGGGGAGCTCGAACCGGTGACCCCCCCGGTTTCCTGGGGGAGGGGTTCGAAGCGGTAGTGACCCCCCCGGTTTTCGGGAAGGGAAGGGGAGGGGGCGGGAGGGGTTCGATTTTGTAGTGACCCCCCTCGGTTTTCGGGAAGGGAAGGGGGGGGGCGGGGGGGGGTTCGAACCTGTAGTGACCCCCCCCGGTTTTCGGGAAGGGAAGGGGGGGAGAGGGGGGGGGTCGAACTGGTTTTCCGGAGGGGGGGAGCGAGGGGGTTCGAATCGGTAGTGACCCTTTCCGGTTTTCCGGAGGGGGGGAGGGGGGGTTTGCCGGGACAGGGGGGGGAGGGTTCGGCAGAATGGGGGAGATTTTTGGAGTGGGGAGAGGGGAGACCCCCGGGCTCCAGAGGAAGAGGGGGGGGGAATTTTCCACAGTAAAGCGGCGGTTTGACCACGCTTTCTCACTCATTGAGATCCGTGATTTATCCAATGACGCAACCGTTTCAAATCAACAGGGATGTCTAGCAGCCCCGCCTCCGCAACAGCAGCCACAGCAAATACCACCCGATTATCTGCACCTTGTACTTGCTGGGGAGGCCCGATTATTTGCCCACAGTATATTGCGGTTTTGGTTGGGGTGCCCCAGGGAGGTGTCGACAAAGGGACAGTGCTCGATTTGTGTCGAAGATCTCAGTTCTGGTGCCAAAAATTTAGACGATGGTGACGAAGATGCAGCAAATTATGTCTTGCATTTTCCCAGCAAGTTGGTTGATTGTTGAGAACCCCACTCGCAAATTAAGGTTGAACAGGGACCACCTTCGGCACTGTGTTACGACAGACTCGCAGAGGATTGAGTGCAGGGGGCTTGGAGCACCAAATAAGTTTATTTCAACACACGTTTGGGAAATTACGTAGAAACGTCGCAGGTCGGTTGGCCAGAGCAAAGGTTCTAGAATTAGGAAAAATTGATGGCCACCCTATGGTCGCTGAAACGCTAATAGTATGGCCTCTGATCAACATTTCTTTGGAATGATAGTGACGGCATACCGCATGTGGCATTTCAAGGGGATAGAATCGAAGAAAGGATGCATTGATGCCAGCACTCTTCTGCCTCGCGCTTCACCCCGTCCTCGACCGCACCCGAAAAACCTACAGAATATGATTTGGGTAGTTTTCTCTGATATCATTGTTTTGTTCGGGGAGCTGGATGCCGAGTGGGGGGATCCGAATCATAAACAACACAACACATTGAATACAGACCGCGCGCGCCGAATCACAGACAGCATACATTGAATACAGACCGTGCGCGCCGAATCACAGACAGTACACATTGAATCACAAACCGCGCACGCCGAATCACAGACCGTGCGCGCCGAATCACAGACAGCACTCATTGAATCACAGACCCCGCGCGCCGAATCACAGACAGAGAACAGAGCGGGCTTTCTAAACCACTCACGCCCAAAGGGCTGGTGGGATTACAGACAGTTCTGAATCACACGTGTGAGTGGTACATGGGTAACGCTTCAATGGAGCTCGTCACCGAAGCAGCAAAAAAAATGGTACCGCATATTATATCACCATACGAATCCGCCAATATTTTCACGGAGGCATCACTCGATTTTGATTGATATATTTGGCCCGGGCTGTGTCTGAGAATCGTCTACCGCTTACAAGATCTGCGCGAGCAAAATGAATTATCTTTTGTAGATGAAAATGACACCCGGAATATTTCAAAAGGCAAAATCACGAACATACGAGGATAGAAGCAGGCAGAGCTACATGAGAAACAGATCATTTTCGGACGGTATTTCGTCGAACGATAGTCCGGAAATGGATGGGTTAAAAAACGCACGAAAACCGGACAATAAAATCAGTCATGGTTCACGTGTTCCATTTGATCGGTTGTGATTTATTGTTATTTTCATTCCAGGTTTTAAGAAAATCCGGAATAACGTTGAAATTATACCAATAAAGAAAGAAAAAAACATAATATCATTAGTACGCCAAGACAGTTGCCAAACATGCAAAATGCGAGGACAAAAAACAATTAAAAACAAAAAAGACAGGAAATAATCGGAATAGAAAAATTAGAAAGGATCCAAATGGAAGAAAAAATATAAGCGCCGATTTTGGCCAAGCCCATTTTGACTGGAAGAACGCGTGATATCCGGAACAGAAAAGCTGGCAGTACAGGAATAGGAAAAAAACGATAATGATAATCATGGAAGGGGTTTTTTATATAAAAAAAAGAAAAAGAAAAAATGAGAGAACGAAACCAACATCATCTGTTTTACCAGGAGGTTCCCGAGAAGGAGGTTAATTGAGGAACCATTTTCTTTTGATCGAAGACCTCCAAGATGGCCCAGGTACCCAGGAGGCTTCAAAAGGCGCCAAGATGGCCCCAAGATGCCCCCAAGAGAGCCCCAAGCGGCCCAAAGAGGCCTCGAGAGGATCCCCGAGTATCCAAGAATCCCCAAGCGCTCCAAGAGAGCTCCAAAACAATTTCCAAGGGACATCGCAGGAAGTGGGCGGCTGCAAGTATTGGGCATCTGGCTAGAACGAATGTCTTTGTCCGTCCTCACGATCTATATCGGCTGGACTTGGTTGTATTTGGGTTATAAGTGTACCGTGGTCTACTTCTTTTGTATAGGTTTAATCCCATATCGCGTATAAGCGTGGCCTGTTCTGGCACTCGTAATTGAGGCGGTACTTTGTTGGAACGGGAGGAAGCGAAAAACAATACAACATACCGTGAAGTCATAGACGGTGGATTCAGATCTTTGCTGTGCTTCGGGGCAGAGGTTGGGCGCTGAGGTCGCCAATGTGTCGAACTAGGTCCCGGATTGGCGATGGCACGGGCGCAAGAGATGCACCCATAGATTGAAGAGAATTGCCGGAGAGAGTAGCCTTTCAGAAATTCCGAGATCTCCAGCTTTACCATAGTTGTTTTCTCTGGTCAGGCCATTTCGTGGGCCATAGTGTGCGCAGGTAGCTTAGTGGATGAATTGTGTGCATCCACCAAAACTTGGAAAGTCACACCCGTGCGCTGCCAGTGGGCCATTTGGGCCGCCGCACTGTCCGCTCGTGGGCAGTGTGGGCAATAAGCTTGGCGGCTGTATTGTGCATTCTCCAGGCTGCTGTGGGCCATTTGGGCTACCACTTCGGGCTATTTTTGCGACCGTTCGGGCCTGCCACCAAG